GGAAAGAGGGTGTGGGGGGTCTAGTGAGATGAATCAGGACAAGGAGGGTGGAGGAAGGATGTGTGTGGGATGCAGGGAGATGGGGCAGGACGTGGTGGGGGGCACTGAGGGAAGGAAGCGTAAGGGATGTAGGGGGATAAGGCAAGATGTGGGGAATTCAGAGAAAGAGGGAGTTGGAGAGGGAAATCATGGCACTGGCAGCGCACAGGGAAGGCACAGGAAGGGGTGGAGAAGAGGGTCCGGTGAGCAGGTGCTTAGGCCAGGACATATTCCAGCTGCACTGGAGGGCAGGACTGCTCCAGCTGCAGATTTTTCCCATTAAAACGCTTCCTGGGAGTCCACTCTCCCTTCCATCTCTGCACTGCGCGTTCAAAACGGTGTCGGAAGATAAGATGCAGGAAGTCACGGTGGCCTCGGTCTGCTCACCCCAGCAAGGACGAGGTGCCGTTCTGGCAGCGCTGCGCAGCAGTGCCGCACACCCCAGCTGTGCTGAGCGCTGCAGGAGGCTCCTCTGGGGAGCGGGAGCCGGGAGCCAGCCTCTGCTCTGCCGGTGACTTGTTTTGTGCCTGCGGCCCACTCATTGCCCCCTTGCGTCTCAGTTTCTCCATCTGTAGAGCAGATTCATACTGGAGTTTCGGGAGTGACAATGTGGTTTCTAAGATGAGCAAGACGGTGAAGGCAGGAAACGGAGTTCATGCTAGGGTCCGTTTCCAGTTATCTTGCTGACTTGCTCGATGACATTGGGCATGTCCTTTCCTCTCTTGGAACCTCGCTGCCCTCCTAGGTAAAACAGGGATAGCTTTGTGTCCCTCTGAGAAACATGATGAGATCCTTGCCTAAAAGTCCAAAGCAGTAATAGCAGTTTGAATGCTAGCTGCTAGAATTTGTTTCTGTGTCCCTGGGGTGCTTCATACAAACCTGTCCCCTGCACTTTGAAGTTACATTACCTCTTTTTTTTTTTTTTTTTTTGAATTGCAAGGCTTGTGGTAAAATGCAATGGCTTGGGTTACCCAAGGTGTGGGCTTTGCTATCACACTGGAAGCGCCTCCAGGGCCATGGAGCTCTGTGTCTGCTGTCAGATCAAAATACCCTGTTTGATCTTAGGGGTGTATTCCCCCAAGTGCTCGTAACTGAGCTAGTGCAGCATAGCAATGTACCTTCTGTCACCTGAGGAGCAGTGGCAGGGATTGGAGAGGATGTGTTTGCTCCTAGGGCACCCCGCTTGCAAAATAAAATACATTTTGTTTAAACTACCTTCATGTTGGTTTAAGACCTGTTTTACTTTGCGGTTACAACGGGTGAGGAACGTGTGTGGGCAGTAGTCGTTTCGTAGCTCAGCTGACAAGCGGTAACTCACTGTGCTACTGAAGCTCACAAGTGAAAGTCCCTTCTCATGCGTTTGGTCATTAAGCCAAGGAAGAGGTTGTTCTCTGTTTACGTTTTTATAGCAGGATTAGGTGCATGGTTGCTTATAGCATTTTTACAGCAGAAAGCCACGTTCCTCCAGACGTCTCTTTTCTTCTGGCTCGAAGTAAGTATTGTGATCTTACTGCAGCGTTTATAATACCTGCAGTGGTCACAAATTTTCTTGCTGTGTAGCCGATAGGTCTCTTAGCAAGCTTTCTACCTGAACAGACTCTCTTGTGAAATTTTCTGCTTCAGCCTGAAGTTCGGTTAGACGGGGTGGTAACTTTCTCTGCTGTGAGAAGTACTATATTCATTGAACTTCACGTGATGGCTGACTACTGTCTCTGGAAACTTTGGCCATCAGGTTAGATTGTGCCTTTGAATCGCAGATGTTGGAATGTCACAGTCCTTTGCTATAAAACATGCTCACATGGGATCAGCTTTGTGCCAGTTGGTTTGTGAGAGCAGCAGGATTTGGGCTCAGGTCTCTGCAGCCCTTGGCCGGGGCTAGCCAACGACACTAGCTACGACAGTGTCCCTTTGGAAATGAGGTTGCTCATCTCTGTTCGTAGGATGGTCTTTGATCTTTTCCATTTAACTCTTCCTGGATTGATAATCCCAGGGTTTCACCCCAGAATGTGGCCACTGGATTATACTGGGTGCTGTTTGACAATGTACTCTTTAATTTAAGATGACCACGTTTCTTTTACCTTATTCTGGGTAACTGTTGCT